CTACTTTTGACTCCATCGGCTAATTCTCGACCGATTTTAAATTTAACAGTATGAGAAGATTACACTGTTAAATGACCGTGTAAAATTCATAACTTCTACATATGGACTCTGTTTTCGTCTGTCTTTTTATCGTTGAGCTCCTATTAATGAGATCTTCATTTCTCATTTAGGTTGCATCCGCCAAAATTTGATCGATCTAAAATTCGAATTCTGGGTTGTGCATTGTTATGTCAAATCTTAGAAAAAATCATAACTTCCTCATACAAAGTCAGATTTTGACGTTCTTTTTTATGCACACTCTCGGTTTAACGTATACTACGACTTTCGTTTAGATTGTTAAGGCTAAAAAGTATTTTATCGCAAACTCACTTTTTACGTCACACAGCGTCATGCCGATTTTGCCGTAAAACTTCGACAGGTCATAACTTCTTCGTTATAACTTGGATTTCAGCGTTCTTTATATGTACGGAACCTTTGTGACATATACTATAACTTAGTTAAAATTATTCATTCTAAATAATCTTCTATTAAAAAGTTGTTTTTGACGTTTATTGTCTCTAAATTGACTAGCCCGAATCTGCGGGTGTTACAAATAAGTGACTCTACCCTAAGAACTATATATAAGTTCATTTGTAAGCCTTTAGAAACATCTTGAAATTCATTAATAAAATCCTTTTTTGTTTTTTTTTCTTATTCAAGCTTTCATTCTGCGTTACAAACCCTAAACATGTCATCCCGGAATCGACCAACTTATGCAAATCATTATAATTATGTCATGATACCCATGTTTAAATATCGGAACCGAGTGATTTACACAAACCAATATAATTATGTCATGATATCCATTGTTTTACACATGTACATAGCTTGAAACGGACTTATGCAAACCATGGTAGGGAAAGATGATATATATACCTCATGATGGGTAGTCATAAAAAAACAGAAGGTTTGAATACGGAGAGGAACGTTTGTGTTCTTTAATGACAAGGTTTCTCATTGAAAATGAAAAAGTTGAACATGCGGTAGTTCTAAACCTTAATGGTCCTACTTCTTTTTCCACCATGTGCCTCTAGATAGCATTTCACCATGGTAGGGAACGATGATATACATACCACATAATGGGTGATCCTACCAAAATGTTTTAAATATGGAAATGAACGATTGCATCCTTTAGAAAGATAAAATAATTAAACATCATTGAATTTCAATCCTTAGACGTCATACTTTTTATTCCAAACTAGGTGTTTGTCTTGCCACGCGTTGCGGGACAGCAATGTATTTGACGAATGATAAGTTGTATGTGTAAAAGTATACATAGTATTAAACAAAGATGTAATAACTATACAGAAAGTTGTATAGAACAAATTTACAAAAGAAGTCTGAAATTCAGAGAAAAAACAAAATGACACTACATACATGAAGGTACACACATGTAATTAAATTTCGCAGACATACATAAAGCCGCACAAAAAAAAATGTGATGACACTTTAATTTAGTGTATAGTATAATAATTTCAATTTATACTGTCAAATGAAAACATGTGTAATGTATGACCCATCTCATATGTAGAAATCGTACTTGTAATTAATGTAGAAAATGTACACAAAATTTACATTAAAACATAAAGAAACTTGAATTTATACCGACATGTACATAAAAATAAGTAAGTTTGTTTTTTTAAGTTAATGAACGAAAGTTCTGATCATAAAAACGTATTCTATGTGATCTGACTCATACGTAGGAAACGTACAGAAAAATAAGTACAAAAACGTTAAAAAAAATACATCAAAACGTGTACATACTCGAATTTATACCGAAACATAAATAAAAACGAAAATAATTTTTTTAAAGTTTACGAATGAAAATTATAAATTTAGGTTAAAACGTTGATAACCGCGAATTTATATTGGCATATATGCATAAAAATAAGCACGTAATAAATTAGTTTTTTTAAGTCAACGAATTTTACAAAGTTCAAAACCGACAGGGTTAAAATGGTATTTTACAAAGTTGAGGTTTGGTGACTAAAAATTAGATTATGTAAGAAATATAAACGGAGGCAGAATCGAACTTAAAGGGTGCAAGTGATGTCCAATCTAGCTGGGTTGATGCACCAGGTTTTATACCCATGTGGAGCGTGAGTTGGATGTTCGATTCTCTTAAACTATCTTTTGTGGTGCCACATATGGGGAATTTTTCTCTGAAAATCTCTATGGGGCTGAGTTTGCCCTTCAAAAAAGCTCGAACCCAGGGTGTTCGTCGAAAAAAAAACGTTGTTAAAGAAATGACACTTATTATTTATAAAAAGGAAATAACATTAAAAAAACAATAAAGGTAGTGTTCACACCGACACTTCAAATTAGGATGTAGTAAATATGTCGCTAATAAATTTTGTAGATATACCATGTCTAATTATGCCCCTAATAATTTTTGTACCTCAGCAGAGAAAAGTAAGAAATTTACTAACGCAAATATTTAGAAATTTACTAACGCAAATAGGATGCTTCCACAACCCTATTTGCTGATACATTGATGCTGCATCTTTATCCTAAATTGTCTCTACATCGAAAAAGCCGATTCCACAGCTAAGCTAATTCTATAGCAAGGCTGATTTCGCAAATAAGGTGCGCTGATGGCTTTGAAAATTCAGAAAAATAGTTACAACCTCCAGATATACTTTTGTAACTTCCGAAAAGCGTTTTTGTCAATCTTATCCATAGTGTGGGTACCAGTAGAAGTTTAGATCTTGGTCTCACGAAAAGAAAAACTATCTTCACACTCTTTCTAATTTTAGCTTTCGATTTCCACCTAAAATAAAAAATGATTTGATTGATTATCCTTGATTGAATTTTATGAACCCGAACATCTAGTTTGATCAATCAAAAATTTAGACTCAAATAATCTAAATAATCTGACATCCGGGTTTCATACCGGTTCTAACATACCACACAATGGATATTCATAAAAAAAATAAAAAATGTTTTAAAAGTTGGAAACGTGTGTGCAAAACTAATTAGTAGATGAGGCTTAAGATTTTGAAACATGTGCGCAAAAGCATTAAACATTGAAAGCGATGAGCAAGGGTGCAAAGACTCATGAGTAGTTAAGGCTTAAAATATTAAAACATGCACGTTAGAAAATTCAATAGAGAAGCTTGTGCGTAAGGTTAAAGAGATGAAAAAATGTTTTTCAAATATAATAAACTAAGAAAATCATTAAAGTACCAAGAATATATAATTGGTTCGGTTGTGGATCATTAATAAATGATCGTAACTATAACCAAACAAACTAACAAATTAATTATAAAGACGGTGTAATGACATCGACCAATTTGTTGTTCAAGTTAGGGGTGATTGGTGTAAAACGAGATGATCTTGAGCCTAACTAAGCTTGAGTTTGGCTCGTCTAACTTTCTAAGGATCGAGATTGAGCTTAATTTGTTTCAAGCTAGTCATGTAAAACTCATGCTCGACTTATGAAAAAACTAATAGAACGGTACCGGCTCGTGTTCAACTTGTTTATCAAACAAGCCTAAACAAACTAAATTTTGATTCGAAATCGGCGAGCTTTATTATAAAAATCTTGAGTTTGTTTTTTTGTTTATTTTAGTTCGTTTAAATATAAAATTTAGTATCTTTGTTAAAAAAAACATTAATTCATCAAAATTCAATTTGCTCCCTTATAGAAAAAGGAAAAATATGTAGAATCATGATAATTAAAGTATTTGGCGGAAATATATATATATATATATATATATATATATATATATATATATATATATATATATATATATATATATATATATATATATATATGAGGAATCCAAAACCTACATCAGGAGAATCCCACATTGACTGAGATGACAAATCCCCAAACAAAAAAAATGAGGATGGGACCTATTCTTCGACTCTAAATTTGGCCCCGGTAAAATATTTATATGTATAAAAATAATACAAAATATATACTTGTAATATCTAAAAGACAAAATTTCACAATTGGTCCCTGTGGTTTACATAATATCGCACTTTGAGGACTTCCTAGCAAAAAATCACGCGAATGGTCCTTAAGGTTTCGTTTCATTGCGCGATTGGTCCTTGACCCTAACCCCGTCACTTTTGTACCATTAGTGAAGGGGTAAATTTGTCTTTTCATCTTGCAGTCACTCTAATAATCCTTCATTATGCACATAATATACGCATGATCTCTGCAATTAAGTACAAAGATCATCTTCCCCAGCTACCCATTACCCTTTCGCATTCATCTTCGTCTTCTCCAACAGAACACAAGGCGAGGATCATCTTCCGATTGAAAACGATAATGGTGTTAACGTTATGGTCAGTTCGTTCCAAACACACAAAAGCATCAAACTATGATTTGGAAAGGATATAATGTAAGTGACTTACTAAAGTGATATTTGATTGTGTCGATTTGATATTACGCCCAAATAGTTGAAATTTTTTTTGTTATTCTTTATTTCAGAGGGAACAAGCAACTTCTTCACTCTAAAAATCCATCATGGTGGGATATTCACGAAAAGCCCTGGAGAAGGTACGTAGATGGAACAATAGACTATGTTGACTTCGTAGATATTGACATTTTCTCTGTGCACGAGTTGGATACAATGGTTCGAGAAATAGGGTACGTAGAAGGGAAAACTTTGTATTATCATTTTCTTATTCCAGAAGTAGAGTTGGACTTTGGTCTGTTACCTCTAGGAAATGATGGGGATGTGCATGTATTGTCAAATTATGTGGAAAAAAATAACCTTTTAAGTATCTACATAGAGCATGGGCATACAAGGGTTAACAGTTATTTTTTGTCCCCCGCCAAGGTTATTATTGAGGAGTTGGTTACTGATGTCTCCCCTGAACTAGATAGGAACCAAAAGAAGGGGAAAGTTGTTGGATCTTCTAGGAAAAAATTAGACTACTCCTAGTCCATTGTGTCATATGGAACATTTGATGGACCTTCACAAGTGATACAGGATAACAAGCCAGTTATGGATGATGAGCCAGTTATAAATGATGAACCAGTTATGAATGATGTGCCAGTTATGACTGATGAGCCAATCATAGATGATGAATATGATGAGCCAGTTATGAATAATCAACCAGTTGTAGATGATAAATATGATTGTGAGGATAGTGCAGATGAAAGTGAATTTGATAGTCAACAAGATGCAAAAAAAAAACAGCGTTTGATGAGGAACCTTTGATAGATGATGTGGAGGTGAACATGATCAACTTCTCTAGTGTACTTGATGAAGACATTGACTTGGGGCAGCCTGATCCGACAAACAATAATACAGAGGAACATGAAAACAGTGAAGATGAACCTTTAGAAGTCTTAGATAATGATGTGTTTGAGTCATTTGCTAGTGAACAAGAGCCTAGAAAGAAATTGTTAAAGTCCATTCTAAAACCAGTTGCTTGTTCATCTGGTGAGGTTCACACTAAAGCTTTTAAGATTGGTCAGACATTCAAGGAAAAGGAAAATATCAGAGAAGTTATTGCCAACTACTCTGTAAAAGAAAGGAGGGATCTACATTACGTAAAGAATGACAAGACAAGAGTTAGGTTAAAGTGTAGGGGTCTTGTCCCTGAATTGACTGGTGACAGTATTAAAGGTAGGGGCAATTTAGTACTTTCCAAGAAAACAACTTGTCCATGGGTTCTTTTTATTTCTAGGTCAGATGAAAAAAACGTTTGGACAGTCAAAACATACGAAGATTGTCATTCTTGTTTGCAAACAAGGACAATGAGGGCTTGTTCATCTAAGTTTCTAGCTAACAACATATTGCATCAAGTTGAAAGTAACCCCAAGATCCCTACACGTGCTTTACAGGAGGACTTAGTACAGAGGTATTCACTTTCAATATCAAAGATGAAAGTATTTCAGGCCAAAGATATGGCAAAACAATATGTTTATGGTGATTATGAAAAGCAATATGGTATTTTGAGAGAATATGCCATGGAATTGAAGTCAAAGAATCCAGGAACAACTGTGAAGATAGATGTCGAAATTGAACCCAATTTATGTTCTGAAACAAGGATCTTCAAACGTATATATATATATATATATATATATATATATATATATATATATATATATATATATATATATATATGCTTAGGTCCATTGAAGGAGGGATTTAAAAAAGGTTTGAGGGATTTTCTTGGATTTGATGGTACGTTTTTGAAGGGTCCCTTTCCTGGACAGATTCTCACTGCAGTTGGGCTTGATTCGAACAATGACATTTACCCAGTTACATATGCCATTGTAGAGACTAAAAATATTAACTCTTGGTCATGGTTTTTGGAACACTTGGGTGATGACTTAGATTTGAATTCTTCATCTAACTTCACTTTCATTTCAGATCGGCAAAAGGTATCCTCTAACTTCAACAACTTTTACTTTTTTTAATTTCATTTACTAACTTATTTTAATTATACTCACAGGGAATCTTGGCTGCAATAGAGAAGCTATTTCCATCAGCCGAGCAAAGGTTCTGTTTAAGACATGTGTATGACAACATGAAATTGAAACACAAAGGAGATGAATTGAGGGAAGCAGTATGGTGTTGTGGAAAAGTATACAACATACCAAAATTTAAAAGGGCTATGGAGAAACTGAAAAAGCTTAACCCATAAGCACATGAGTGGTTAAGTAAAATTCCTGCAAATCACTGGGCAAGATCCCATTTCTCTGGTAAGTATCAAACTCTTTTCACTAACACATTTCATAACTGATTTCAGAAATTAATTGTTTGGTTTTATATATAGGAAGGGCATTGACTGATAGTTTGACAAATAACTTGTGTGAGGTATTTAACTCCAAGTTAGATGAGGCAAGGGACAAGCCTATAATCACTTGTTTGGAATATATTAGAGAATACCTCACAAAGAGAATAGTAAATGTTCATAAGGTGCTAGACAAATGCAAACGTTCTTTAAGTACAAACTGCAACAACAATCTTAGAACACAATAAGACAGAGGCAAATAAGATGAGGGTTCTATTTAGTGGAGCTGATAAATATCAAGTGACTGGTCTATGGATGGAGCAGTATGTTGTGAACTTGAAAGAGAGGAGTTGCACTTGCAGGAAATGGGACATTACAGGTATTCCATGCCAGCATACTATTGCTGCAATGTATGATAAGATGCAGAATGGGTCAGAATGTGGAGATCCTGAGGCTTGGGTGAGCAAATGTTACTGGTTTAGTACATGGAATGCTATGTACCAACACACAATTGACCCAATAAATGGAAGGAGCATGTGGCCTAGATCTGATTGTCCAACAACCCTTCTCCCACCCAAACATCACAAACAGGTTTGTTCTCATACATGTTTTGTATAATTTAACTTGAAACTATTTAATAAACTTGTTGATATGTAACCATATAAATTTGTTTATAGGTTGGCAGGCCAAAGAAAAAAAGGAAGAGGGCAGTTGATGAGCCAACTCAAAGTACCAAGTTAAGTAGGAAATACTTGATAGTCACTTACAGCAAATGCCACAACAAAGGTCGCAATGCCAGGACATGCAAGGGGCAGGGAGGTCCTAGTGAAGCTGGAAAGGGGAGTGAACAGATGAAGGGGAAACATGGTGTAGCTTAGTTTGTAGTTTTAAGTAATCTTTTGCTATTATGTCTAAGTAAAGTTAGAACATGATTACTAAGTTTGGTTATGGTATGTCAGTCAAAACAATTACTTTTGATAGGTATTTTGGGCATTGTATGTTTGTAACATGATATTGCACTTACATGCATTATGGTTAATGGTAATGCTACTTTGGTAATTAGTTTTTTGGTTATGTTACTGCACATTAATAATCAACATCACACTAACATGCAATCAAATTGACAATTTGCTTCCTTGCTAATATAATATCCATCACATTAAAACTAAACATTAAAATTACATTACATATAATATCCATTACATTTTCTTGTCCCAACATTACATACAATCACAGGGAAAATCCTTCAAAAGCTAAAACAAAAATGGGACCAAAACACAGATTCCAAATCACAGATTCCCCCCCCCCCCCCCCCAAAAGCTTCTTGATTTTTTACTTGAAAAAGTAACACATCAAGAAAAACAACCAACTCAGACAAAGTAACCATTTCACCATCATCAATCTTGCTTCGAGATTGTTTCTTCCACGCAACAACCCCGGAATCACAACAGTTGACCTAGGGCACATGGGAGGGTCGAACCATCCAAAAACGCTGCATGTTCCTCCTAACCTTGAGCATGACCAGAATCGACGACCTGGGTTCAAATCAGTCCACGATGTCACCAAAATCGTCGGCCTTCCACAGTGGCATATCACCATCTTCTTCTATTTTGGAATAGAATGTGAGTGGGGAGGGAAGAACAGAGAACGAGAAGTAAAAGGATATGAAGGTGGGGCTTACATTATATACTCTGATGCATAACAAGATGAAAAGACAAATTTACCCCTTCACTAACGGTACAAAAGTGACGAGGTTAGGGTCAAGGACCAATCGCGCAATGAAACGAAACCTTAAGGACCATTCGCGTGATTTTTTGCTAGGAAGTCCTCAAAGTGCGATATTATGTAAACCACAGGGACCAATTGTGAAATTTTGACTATCTAAAATTTGATTCAAGTAATCTAAGAAATTGTATTTTTTTTCTTTTTCGTTTATCTAATTTAACTTCGCGTATAATTTTGTTGTCATTGTTTTATCTATTCTTACCTTAAACATCACTATAATAATTATTTTTTTCTTGATTTTCCAAGTATGTATTTAAATTTAGTAGAAAAATTGTTTATAGTTTTCACGCAATCTATGAATATTTTTAAGTTTTGTAAAATTTTTAAACTTATGTTGGTAAAATTGAAATTTAAAGTTTTGTTTTACGTAAAAGTTTTTATATTAAAATAGAAAAAGAAATTCTTGATTCCCCATTGGGGATCACCAGTCCCCGTTCGAGGTGGAGATGGTGATTAGGGTCCTCAGTATTCCCCGACCCCATTCTCATTTCTATATAGACGTCCTTCCACTTTAGGTGTATAAAAGCCTACCTAATTTGGTTTGTCATCGACGAAAAGCCCAATCGGTCAAAGCTTGTGGAAAGCCTCGCACGACAGGCCAGTCTGTTAAGGCTTATAGGCTTTGTCGAGCTGCCCTCAATCCTAAAATCCCAGTCTGTTAAGGCTTATAGGCTTTGTCGAGCTGCCCTCAATCCTAAAATCATGTTATAATTCATGATTTTTTTTCTTTATATTTTTCGTTAGTTTAGAAGTCATTATAGTTAATTTAATTATATAGCATTATATTTTCATTTCAACATTTGTCGCTTTCCTTATTTGATGGTAATAGCATCATAATGAACGTATTTTAATGTTTACAAAAAAAAAAAAAAAAAAAAAAAAAAAAAAAAAAAAAAACTTAATTTGTAAAGAAAACAACAAGACTGGATCCGTCTAAAACGAGACCGGTCCGAAAAAAAAATAGTCGTAAGAAGATTGAATCGAAAAAAGACCCATCCGAAAAAAGAACAGATCATTATGAGGTCAGTCCCTAAAAACACTTGATTGTTCTGAGACCGTCCGATACATGTTCAAGAGTGGTCTAAAAAAAGACCAGAAACCAAATTTTATATACATATGATTTTTTATTAATTATACATTTTTTAATTACAGATTATGCAATATTTTTCCTTCTTTTTTTTATTAAATGTTAATGTATCATTTTTAGTAATCTTCATACATCATTCATATTTGTTAACCAAAAATATTAGAGCTGACAATGGGACGACTTGGGTTGGTTACGAGTTCAACCCATTTATCAATTGGGTTGAATATTTCAATCCAATCTAACCTTTTTCTTTAAATGGTTGGATATTTCCAACCCAACCCAACCTTTCAGATAAATGGGTTGTCACCGTATTGATCCGTTTATTAATTTTCAACCTAACCTATGAAATAAATGAGTTAAACCTGGGTTAACCCATTTAAAATAAATAAATAAATAAAATAACTAAAGATTACACCATTTAAATTAATTCCAAACTTAAATAAATTTTCAAAGTATAATAAAAGCACAATCATAATTCACAAATACAAAGAAATTGTTCAAATAACATTAAAAATAGATAATTTCAAAGTGATTTTGAAGAGTGACTAGTGTTGTCTGCACAAAGAAAAAAGATAAGGATTAGGATGGCATGTTTTAAAAAATAAATAACAATACAACATTATAATTTATAAATTAATAGTTAGATTAATACATGGTAATATTTAAATAATTATTTAATTAAATTTATATTAATGTTAAATGGGTTGGTGGGTTGAAAATTGATTGATAACGTTTACCCAACTCAACCTATTTAATAAATGAGTTAGGCGGGTCGACCCATTTAATCTAAATGGGTTGAAAATCTCAACCCAACCTGTTAATTTTGGGTTGGGTTTTGATTGAGTTGGTGGGTTGAGTAGATTTTTGCCGGCTCTAAAAAATATGAAAACCGAACCAAAAAAATCATACTAAAAAAACAACGAGACTAAACAAAAAGAAAACCAATATCAGTCCTAAAAAGACCGACCGCAACTGGACCTTTTGAGATTAGTGTGTCGCCCACCAGCGTACCAAGGCCAGGTCCACGCCCGTCGGGCACCTCTATTTTTTATGATGGTATGTAGGGGTGAGCATTTGGACCTGTGGACCGGACCGGACCATTTTTTTGGGTCCCCGGGCCGGTTCTCGGTTCTCTGATTTCAGCAAAACCGATCTGGTTTTTTTACCGGTCCGATCCGGCCGGTTCTGGGTAAAAACCGGTTTTGAACCGGCTTATTTTTTCAAAAAATTGTATTTTGTAAAAAATTTTAAACAAACATATCTCATTCGTTTTAAGTCGGATTGACATGCGGTTTTTTCCAACGTATAATTTAGAGTTTGTAGATGATTTTAGACTAAAATTTTGTTGTTTTTGGTTTTATATTTGATGAGTTACAATAATTCAAAGATGAGATATCAAAGCTGAAATATTTCAGCTTTTCAACAATAAATTTAAACTTTTATATTCTGTGAAATTCTTTAAACAAACATATCTTATTCGTTTTAAATCAGATTAACATGTGGTTTTTTCTAACGTGTAATTTTGAGTTTGTAGATGATTTTTATACTATGATTTTATTGTTTTTGGTATTATATTCGATGAGTTACAATGCTTCAAATATGAGATATCAAAGCTGAAATATTTTAGCTTTTTCAGCAAGAAATTTAAACTTTTGTATTCTGTGAAATTTTTTAAACAAACATATCTCATTCGTTTTAAGTCGGATTGACATGAGGTTTTTTTCCAACGTGTAATTTAGAGTTTATAAATGATTTTAGACTATAATTTTGTTGTTTGTTGTAACATCCCGTTTTAACTAGATTGATTAAATAATAAATCAGGAACCTCGGGAAGTAATTATTATGATTATTTTATATTATTAGAGCTCAAAATTAAATGATAATAAGTGGGGTGTTGGTTTCGGGGAGCCAAATGACAAGATTTGAATCTCTAAGGGTTAAAGTGTGATTGTGGGACTTAATTTGTAAAGATTTTCATAAGTCAATGACTGATTGGTAACATTTTGGACTTGAATTGTAAGGATTTGTAAAGGAGGGGTTGTTTTGGAATTATTGGACTCATATTGAAAAGAATTATGGGAGCAAGGATCAAAGTGTAAGTTTTGGACTTGATTTGAAAGGAATTTCAGAGGGCAGGGTTGAAAAGGTAAAGTATGGGTTGAGTTTGAAAGAAAAGGGGGAGGGGAGGGGCCAAAGGTGGCATTATAGGATAAGTTTGATGAGGGTGGTCGGGTATATATCCTACCGAGTAACCCTAACCCTAACTGTGAGTCCAGCCGCCACCTCCACTCTCGTGATTTCCGGCGTCGCACCACCACATCCGTTGAGGTCATCGTCGTCGCCGCTAAGGCCGAAGATGCGAGCCACCAGCCACGTTGCTGCCGACGGTTGAAGAATCAAAGAGTGGGTGTTGGACGTCGGGGCAGAATGGATTGAGGGAACGAATCGACGCCGCTGCCTTGTTCTTCGCCGGAGGGTGAACGCCTCCTCGTCTCCGTTTCTTTCTGTCGTTGAACTATCGTCGCCGATGTCGCTAGGGTCGTCGAACGCCGCCGTGTTGCTGCCGTAAGAGCCGCTGCTGTCGCCGATGGTGTTGTTGCCGCCGCCGGCCTCAACCACCAATCCGTTGAAGACTAAGTGGGTATCGGTTTCCCATGGATAGCTTACTCAGAAGTGTCATTGTGTTCGCGTGTTGCTTGGTTGAGACTCAAGAAGACTCGCCACCACCGTGGGGTGGTGGCCGTCAATGCAAGACCGCCGCCAGCCGCCTCTAGATGGCTGTGTGTGGGTGTTTAATCTAGTGTGTGCGTGCTTCAGTTGTGTTTCACAAGCTGATGGGTGTCTCGGGTTGCTGCTGCCAGAAAAATACCCAAGAAAAACCACCATGGTTGCCGGCCATGGTGGCTGCCACCTCCGACCACCGTCTACCGCCTCATGGTAGTTGTTTGTGTAATTATTAGGTGTTTATTTTGGGCTAGTGTGTGTGTATCATTGTAATATGTAATCGGAATAATAATAGAAAAACTTGAACCACCACCATGAGGCGGTGGTTGCCGCCTCCTGCCACCACCGGCCGCCGTGTCGGGTGGCGGTGTGCTTTGATTGCGTTGGACCTCGTTGGATGTTTGGACAAGGGGCTACTAAACCCTAATGGGCCAAACGAAACCCTAGTGGGCCCAAAGAGACCCCAATGGACCTAATAAAACCCTAATGGGCCCAATCAGCCCCAAAGTGACCTAGAAGCTCAACCAATTGTCTAATGGGCTAGTATTGGGTTGGAAAACCCTAAGGGCATAAAACCCTAATTGTGTGAATCGCTTGGGACACACACGAGAATTAATTATTAAACTTAAAATAATAATTAATAATCATTGGCAAAGTAACTTAGCAATAATGGACTTAATGGATTAAGTCCTTTAGGGGTTAAGTAAGAAACACTTAACCCTAATCATCATTTCATGTGAAAGCCCTAATCTCACTCGAGCTTTGAATTGGGCCTTCCTATTGGGGCTTTGGCGATTGGACTATTGATGGGCCATCCAAGAACAAGTTAATGGACCAAAGTAATTAGACGGGCTTTATAATAAGGCCCATGTGAGGACTTGGGCCTAATTTGGAAAATTGGGCCATAATTGGGCCTTTATGATTATGTGATAATGGGCCATGGGAATTGGATTGGAATAATTGGATGGGCCTTAAGGAAAGACCATGTAGAGGTTTGGGCCCAATTTGGAAAATTGGGCCATATGTTGGGCTTTGGCCCATTATTTTACTTTTGGGCTTTTGTAGTGTGAGTTGGAACTTGGGCTTGGAACCCAATTATTAATTGGGTATTGTTTGATGTTAACAGTTCCGGAATCTGTCAACCAGCAGCGGGAGCTTTACCTGCGGGACTTCAGTAGTGCCAGGTGAGTTATCCTCACTATACTAAGGGCTCTAAGGCACCAAGGTCGGCCCATTGGATATGTTATCCTAGCAGTGGTTATGGTGAGTATCAGTTAGTGTTGCATGCTAGTGGTTATGCCATTTAGGTAGATCTGTAGGACTACCTGTGTTGTTATATGAATATCTGCATGCCAGTAGTTATGTTATATGTTGATACGTTATGTGGGATGGGTTGAGGTGATACTGCTCCATGCGGTAACCAACAAACCCGGGAGCATTCCAGATACGGGCTAAGGGAGACTCGTACTGTGGGCTTGATGGCAATCCAGATGTGAGCTGTGGGCCCGGATGACAATCCAGACTCACACTGTGGGACCAGTGGAAATCCAGTAGGTGGAGCATTCCAGATACGAGCTGAGGAGACTCGTATTATGGGCTCGATGGCAATCCAGATGCGAGTTGTGGGCCCGGTAGGCAATCCAGACTCATACTGTGGGCCCAGGGGTAATCCAGTCTGTAAAGCTGTGGACCCATTATGTGTTGTTCAGTTGTTATGTTATGATATTGCTGATATTGTTATGTGGACTGTATGTGTATCGGTATTTTGGGGGTAACTCACTAAGCTTTCGGGCTTACAGTTTCAGTTTATTGTTTCAGGTGCATCAGGGGATCGTGGCAGGGCAAATGCATGATCGTACAGCTCCTCACTTTTTATGACTATGTTTCTGGGATACTCTGATATTAAACTATTTTGGAAACATTTTGTAATGACTAATGAGTTTTGAACTGTTTAAAATTTTTTAAATTGGCTTGAATTTTACGGGTGTTACATTTGTGGTGTTATATTCAATGAGTTACAATCCTTCAAAGATGAGATATCAAAGCTGAAATATTTCAGCTTTTCAACAAGAAATTTAAACTTTTGTATTCTTTGAAACTATTTAAACAAGTATATCTCATTCGTTTTAAGTCGGATTGACATGCGCTTTTTCCAACGTGTAATTTAGAGTTTGTAGATGATTTTAGACTATAATTTTGTTGTTTTTGGTGTTATATTCAATGAGTTACAATCCTTTAGACAAATGGTATAAACTATAGATAATCAAAGTTTAACCGGTCGAAATGGCACAATAAACAAAAGCGTATTCGTTTTTACGAGTTGTACCGTATCAAACCCAAAAAAGTATTCATTTTAATGTTGTAATGTATCAGACCCAACAACATATTCGTTTTAACGAGTTGTATCAAACCTAAAAACGCGTTTTAACAAGTTATACCTTATGCATATAAAGTTGTACCAGTCCAAAATGGGTCCAAGAACCGGAAAACCCGGACCTGGACTCGGACATGGACCTGGATCCAGTAAGTCTCATCCGGTCCGGTCCACGGTCCACAATATTCTCTGAAACCGGTCCGGTCCAAGAGCCTGTTCGGTCCGGTCTAGTCCAAATGCTCACCTCTAATGGTATCCACCTCCATTTTTCCTTTTAGTTTGTGGGATAGATAGCCTCTGATCTTTTTCTGTAACCTTCATTATATCTATTTCCTGTCAATCATTTGAAAAACTATATCAAATTATAATAAACTAGTTGTGAGACCCATTATTACATGAGTTAATTTAAAAAAAATATATATATAAAGGTCAAAATATTTGAGAACTTTGTATTTATAAGAAAATACGAAAAATAATGAATTATTATAATGAAAATGTTTTTTATCTTTTAATATTAAACAAATAATTTAAATAAATAAACAAAAGAAACTAATGAGCTTTAATTTTGGGAATTTTGAAATTAAAAGATAAGTTGATTAATGAAATTGATATTCATTTTATTACTATATTTATTGAAATTATTATATTAAAATATTATGTGGAATTTAATAAAATAAAAAAACTCATAAAATGACATGTGGAAAAAAAAATTAATTTAAAATAATCACAAAATAACGTTTAACAAATTAAATAAGGGTGTGACAAACGGCAAAAAAATAATCATTTATTAGAGCAGATATCACAAATAGAAAATATCTATAGAAAATATCTTGATGGCTAATATTTGGGAACACGACAAACATTGAATTTTATTTATTTATTTGGGCTTTTCGATGAAAGATCTAAAGAAGGAACATTTAAACAACATTATCTTTTAACTTTCTAAGAAATAATAATTAAAATGTACTAATGTAAATACGTTTTGTTATAAAAAATAATTCTGATAAATCTCTGTGATGTGATTAACTATATAAGATATGAAGCAAATTTGATAACTGAAAACGAATTTATTTAAGTAATTTTATATATGCTAATAATAACAAAATTAAAATGAACCATAAACACATACAATCTAAGATTGGCCTCTCACATACTCTGCTACTCGTACTTGACTCTTGAAACGTGAGCAATTATTGAAAATCTGTGAATGAAAATTACCCTCGTGTTTTTGTTGACGTTTTATTTCCTTTAGAATTCTGTTGGTAAGATGGCTTAAATTAATAAAATAGTGAAAGTTTGTTGTGTTATGCTATATTTTGCCTTCATACCAAACCCCTATAACCTAGAAAAAAAATGTTTTTCAACGATTAGATAATATATTTACAAAAAAAAATGTTAAATTGTCGAAAGAAAGTGTGTCTTTTTTTATGTATTTCTTCATACTTTAATCACCACCAAAACAAAAAAAAATGTTTATTCTAAGGCCTAACCTGGGAGCAGGGCCGGCCCAATAGGGTGGGCAAGCTGGGCGACCGCCCCGGGCCTCGCCAAATCTCGGGGCCCCGTAAATTTTGATTACTATATATATGTAGCTGATATAAAATATAATATGCAAAATATAAACAGAAGTAACTTTGGTTGAGATGGTTAAAGTGCTTGTGCGAGGTCTTGTGTTCGAACTTTTTGTGTTTATATATTTTGGAATTTTTATCAATTTACTTGTTAATCTAATACAAGGCTAAAAGCCCAACATCGTAGTTAGGTTTTTTTTGCTTCTTAAGAGATGAAGTCGGCACCTTTCCAAGAGATGACGTTTCAGTTTTCAATAAGAAATTATGACTATTTGATGTTACTCGTAATACACGGGCTCACATCAATTTTCAAGAAGGCAAAACATAAATGGGTAAGCAAGAACCGAAAAGCTGTCATATTATTTTCATGTTGTTCAAATTTGGGTTGCTCTCTTCCGTGATGGATTTTTTGACCATGTAGACGGTAATGCCCCTTGTTCCATTTGGCTCTTGATATGCTTGTCTTTCTCTACGATGTTTTACAGTTTTCTCCTCCTGAGGTGGAAGTGTATACGATTTTTCTCTTCGTTTTGGGATCATCTATACCGTAGCTACATGATTTTTGGTCATTATGGACGGTTTTACCCCTTCCTCTAGTTTTGCTCATGCTGTGGTTTTTTGCCCTGTTGTCGGCATTTCTCATTGTTGTCGATTGGTGGTTCAATAGTTGTTTTCGAGGTACCTTCTCTTTGGCTTCTTTGTATTTATTATCATGCTCGTATTTCTTGTTTTCATCGGTTGTGCCTTAGTGATGCTTCTTTTGATGTTGTTTTACAAGTTTTATGCCCTCTTTACATCTGTTCTAATTTTTTCTGATTTATGAGTTATATATATTTTTTCTGATTTTTGTGTAGGTAAACTGAAAGAGATGTAAACAAAGAGATTAGAGGAGGGATCACTTGTAAATTACTGATATAACGATATTGTCAATGACAATTTTGCCACTTTTCACTTACTTTGTATATTTTCATATTGTGGGCCGTATAACATTAGTGGTAAAAACCAAAAGTTTGACGGTAATGGTGATTATGGGTGTCATATATGAATTTTTTTGATGAAAAGGATGGATAGATGTAGTTGAATGTAATTTTTTTTACATACGGGTGTTTAAGCTTATACGATGTGCTTTGATAATAAAAAAAAAATAAGATTACTTGCTTATTGTTTTAAATTGTCATATTTTATTCCATCCACTTCGAAGGTCCAAAATGGGGCCTCATTTTCAAATTTGCCCCGGGCCCCAAATCGGCTTGGACCGGCCCTGCCTGGGAGACCGGCTTTAGTGCCTAAAGATAGACAAAACCTGTATGTCAGCCATATGTGACTTCAAGGAATTTCTAACTTCTAAGGACTTTGTTATTTCCGAATTCCCATAAGACCAAAGAGAAGTACCATCACCCCGTTAAAAATTAATAAATATTGATTTTTTTTAGAAATTGCCTCAGTCCAATTAAGTAGCGATTCGATATCTGCAACTCCATGAGTATCTATCTATGTTCCTCAATTATGCGATCACAGACCATGTGTACACAACCACTCTCCATTCCAAGAATGTGTGTCCCAGTTTCTGCTCAAAAACTGCATAACCGGCAGCTTGGAAAGATGTTAGATAATGCCTCTTAGTGGTAGGTAGGATGTATATTGAGTCACTGATCTTTCTAGGCATAAGCTTGTTCCAGAGGAAATTATGACCACTTGATATTTATCTTTTCAGAATTATAAATAAATATATTTAATCAACCAAGTACTGTACATTACTTGTTGATCAGTTTTTGTTTGTAGTCGATACATTCAAATTTTTTATAGCGCTAAATTTAAAATTGAAAAAGAAAAATGACAATGACACCTTTTTCATAATTCAACTATATGAAACATTTAAAACATGGTGTGATGAAATACCTTATAATTACCTTCTATAAATAGCATAAATCTACTTCACGTTAATATGCAAAAATTGAACTAGCATACACTGTCCAAACCTGTCAATGAACATGTCTCTTACACAAGAGGAAGTTATGCGCCCCCTTGTCAACTTTCCTTCCAGCGTGTGGGGAGATCAGTTTCTCATCTACGATGAGGTATGTACATTATTAGAAGAAATTAATGGCTATTACTTTTATGTTTATCCATGTGTACAACAACTTTTTTTTATGATTAACAAATGGGTGTATGTAGCACGTGGAGCATGCTACGATGGAACAAATAGTGGAAGACTTGAAACAAGAAGTGAGGGAAGACATAATGACAACTTTGGATGTTCCAATGGAACACACAAATTTGTTAAGATTGGTTGATGCAATCCAACGCCTTGGCATAGCTTATTATTTTGAAGAAGAGATTGATAAATTGTTGCGACATATTTATGATGCATATGGTGATGACTGGAATGGGGGGAGTCCTTCCCTTTGGTTTCGACTTATGCGACAACATGGTTTCTATGTTTCATCTGGTTAGTATGTATGCATAAAATGAAATAATCATCTATCTTCCAAAAGAAGCTAACATCGTTTTACATGAATCAAAACAGACATTTTCAATAGGTACAAGGACAAAAATGGAGCTTTTAAAGAATCTTTAGCCAATGATGTTCAAGGTATGCTTGAGTTGTATGAGGCAACTTATGTGAGGGTGCATGGCGAAGTTGTACTAGATGATGCTCTTGTTTTTACAAGAGTTCACCTTGACGAAATAGCCAAGGATTTAGTTCAAAGCAACTCTGCTTTGTCTATCCATATACAAGAGGCACTAAAGCAACCTATACAGAAAAGGTTGCCAAGACTAGAGGCTTTGCGCTACATTCCTTACTATGAACAACAAGCTTTTCATAACGAGTCTTTACTTAAACTTGGGAAGTTAGGGTTCAATTTGCTTCAATCACTACATAAGGAGGAGCTTAGCCAAGTTTCCAAGTATGCATATATACTCCGTCACTTATCTAAAAAAATATAACTTGAATATTATAGGTTGTTTCCGATTTTGCATTTATTATTGAAAATTTGGTAGTTTTTGATAGATTTCAACATGCGCATTAATGTAATGTAGGGTGGTGGAAAGGCCTTGATGTCCCAAACAATCTACCTTATGCAAGAGACAGAATGGTTGAATGTTACTTTTGGGCACTTGGTGTGTACTTTGAGCCACAATATTCTAGAGCTAGAATTTTCTTAACCAAAGTGATTTCAATGGCAACAATTCTTGACGACACTTATGATGCTTATGGTACTTATGAGGAACTTAAGATATTTACCGAAGCAATTCAAAGGTATTTTCTAATTATGAACATCATTGAAGTCCTTAAGACATAATTCTTTTAATCTATCAAACTAATCAAGCAATCTCGTATATATAGATGGTCGATTACATGCTTGGATGGGCTTCCAGAATACATGAAACTGATATATGAAGGACTATTGGATATTTACAAAGAAATGGAAGAAATCATGGCATGTGAGGGAAAATCAAATCATCTCGGCTATGCTAAAGTGTCTGTAAGTTTTTACACCTTAAATTAATTTGCAATAATGTTTTATAATCAAAATTCTTACAATGGATGTGACTGTTGTGATCATGTTTTCATTTATAGATGAAAGAGTTTATTAGAAGCTACATGATGGAAGCGAAATGGGCAAATGAGGGATACATACCGACAATAGAGGAGCACATGTCAGTTGCATTTATCAGTAGTGGGTATAGCATGCTTGCAACAACATGTTTTGTTGGCATGGGTGATATAGTCACAAATGATTCGTTCAAATGGGCTCTTAGCAAACCTCTTCTTGTTAAAGCTTCATGTCAAATTGCTAGACTCATGGATGATATTTTCTCCCAGAAGGTATGCATATCGAAATTTGAGATTCAGTTGATTTTTATGACTTCTTGCTTTAGTTTTGATGTGTTGACATATTTTGTTACTAAAAATGGGAGCAGGAGGAGAAAGAAAGGACGCATGTTGCATCTAGTGTTGAAAGTTACATGAAGCAATATGATGTTCCAGAAGAGTATGTACAGGACTTGTTCAACAAGAAAATTGAAGATGCTTGGAAAGATATAACCCAAGAGTCCCTCGTGTGTAAAGATGTTCCAATGGCTCTAATAATGCGTGTGATCAACTTGGCACGGGTGATGGATGTTCTATATAAGCGTAAAGATAGTTTCACACATGTTGGAGAAGAATTAATAGATCATATCAAATCTCTGCTTGTTCATGCTATAAGTATATGAGTTTCAACTTTCAAGTCCGCGTGTTATGCAGTGTTTCATACACTGCCGGTTTTCTTGAAAATGTTTTTTTTTCGCAAGTAAGGTCTCAAGTTATTAGGTGTTTGATAGCTCTGAATGTAATTTATTACTACTGCTTATTTATTAACCATATAAAATTTGGTTTTTCGGTTTACGAGTTAATTGGTTTTCGGTTTGGCGAGTTCAGAGTTACCCCAAATGATACAAGCCAGCCCAAATCCAAATTACAAATACGATAAAACTAATCTATCAGAAAGACAGAAACTGTAAATCTATAATATCAAATAATACTGTACATACAATCAAAAAACAGACAATCGTTTTAAAACTAAGAATCTGAAATTGCAATTGAAGAAGGAAATATTCCAATAACTCAAACACTCTCAAACACTAAAGAAATGGGGTACAAACTTACAGATAAACATGACAATAACTCTTGAAGAAGGAAACATTGTGACGGCTATCAGATTATCACCTGGCTCAGGTTCAGGTTCAGGTTCACTGGTTGGCCCAAGATTAAAAGAACTCGTTAGTCGGAGAAACTGCAGTACACAGGTGGCTGGAGAAAGTCACGAACTCTTGTGCCTTGTGAGACGGAGGGAACGACGGCAGGGGAGGGAGAACCCTAGTGAGGACCGCTAGAGGCCGGAGGGAAGGACGGCAAGAGAGACTCAATCCTTGTAACTTGTGAGACGGAGATGGAGATGGAGATATCGAGTGAAGAAAGTGGGATGAAGGGTCTCAAATCAAACGGTGAATTGAAAACTGAAACCACGGATTGGATTCGGGTATCTTTTTTTTGTGTGTGGTGGGTGGGTGGGGGTTAATATTAGTTATCTAATATTTGATATAAATATAAATTAATCTTTTAAAAGATAATAAAAAAAGACTAAATTCAACTTTGTTTATTTCTGCAAAATCTTTATATTTTTTTACTTTTTTTATTTAGTCCTTATATATAAGTCGGTGTGTTTTATATTTATTGTGTGCTAGAATCCACCAATAAAAATTTAGTAAAATTAAATAATTATTTAATTAAATAAAGAGAGTTATTAAATATTTTTCATAATTGTATATATATTAAATGATATCCATAATTATAATTCTTCTTTTATGGAAACTAATTAAATTCGTCATTAATGTCAGCAATAACATTCTTTCATAATGAATTCGTATTTAGGTTTTTTATGTATGGATTTATGTTTTGTTTTAGGACACTCACTTAAAATACAATAAAGTTGCATGAAATATGAATAACGAGAGTGTATTCTACTATAATACAATCTCATTCTTCTTGATACGAATTCATTCTAAAAAAATATTATTGCTGACATTAATAACGAATCTAATTAGTTTCCATAAAAAAAAGAATTGTAATTATAGATATCATTTAATATACATATAATTATGAAAATCATTTAATATCTATCTTTAGTATGAGCCTGTAATGCATATAAGCTTATATGTGGAACCTTAATGTGTCGTCGTTTTAAATGAAAGAAACTCACTAAGTCCCTTATTTTTCCCACGAAATTTACGGTTCCTATTTTACTCTAAGATATTCCCTTATTCTTCTCTCTTTTTTTAATCGCTTCGCAAGGGTCATCTTCTTCTCTTTTTTTTTTAATCGCAAAATCAGGTAAACACACCCTTTGTCTTTTTTTTTCAATCGCAATCAATAAACATATGTTATTTCTGATTTAGAGTTTGTATTTTGTGTGAACATAGTTAGCTTATGGTGCTACGTTTTATCTCTTGAATAATTATAATTGACTATCCTTGAAACATAAGTATCGTAAGAACTCTTGAATAATTAGTAAATTAAAGGCCTACCAAAGGGCTTCTAGCCCAGCGGTATCAGGTGGTGTCCTCCCTCTTTGAGATCGATGGTTCAAGTCCCGTGGTGAACATAAGTGAAATAGGTGTTAATTTAGGAGTATTATATTGTATTTGCCGGTTTAAAAAAAATAGTAAATTAAAGGCCTGCAAATAATATAATAGTAAAACATATGTGAAGTTCTCTTAAAGTTTGAGTAGCTTGAGGCTACATGGCAGTAAGCATAATGGCCACATTTTTTTTTTTCAATTTTGATTTTGTGCTTCTCAAAGTAAAACACAAGTTAAGTAATATTATAGAGCGGCATACATTAATATGAAACTAAAAACTGAAAAACAAATATATTTGCAGAAAAAATTGTAATACATTTGGTAAAATTCGGAAGTAATATGCATGATTATATTGGCAATCGGTGATAATTATGCGTTTTCAGGTTAAATATCCCCTATTTTCAATCAACATCAATCTTCATTCCTTCTCAACTGAAAAAACCATCATAGTATAATGCTTAATTGTTTGATTTTTTTGAATGTGTAATTGAAATACATGTATTATTTTCTTGGTACAGGGCAGCCATAGGATCATGAATACAAAAATCCAAATAGAGGATCAACCTTCAGAAACACATACAACTGAAGATATGGACACAAATGATTATTTGCAATCAACACTTGAATTTGAGACAAGAGATGGTAGGGGTGTGAACCATGGATGTGACGAAGATGAAGATATTGAAGTAAGTATTATGGGGAAGGTTTTTAATACACCTAATGATCCATATACATTTTATAATCAATATGACTTTGTATATGGATTTGGTATACGCATTCATTAGAACTATAAAAATAAGACAACCAATGTTCCTTATCGGAAGATATATGTGTGCAACAAGCAATGTCATAAAAGTTTGAAAGGTAACAGTTCATGTGGACATGAAAAGAAACGTCGTAGAGATTTAAGGACCGGGTGTCAAGCAATGATTCGTATTTCAAAAAGAAAGGATGGGAAATGGTTTGTAGACATGTTTAATGATACAAACAATCATGAGTTGAGCACTACACCAACAAAGGTAATGAAACATCGTTCTCATGGGAAGATACATCGCTCATTGGCATGTAAGTCTCTTATGGTGCAACTTGGTCAATCAGGGTTGAGGCCTTGTCAAATCAGAAAGGTTGTAAATGCAATGAAAACTCCGTATGAAGTTGATGTTACTTCAAAACAATGTACGAATATTTTATCGGAGCAACGCAAACAATACAAAGGTAAAGAGTTTTATGGTCTTATTAAACATTTCCAAGATAAAGCATTACTATATAATAACCAATATTTTTGTTGTGGATTTGTTTGATGGTGGGTGCCCTAGAAATGTTTTTTGGGCTGATGGAAGATCAAGGGACGTGTATATTAAATTTGGAGACGTTGTTATCTTTGATGTTACATACATGACAAATAAGTTTAAGATGCCATTTGCTCCGTTTATTGGGGTAAATCATCATGGTCAGTCTATACTTTTTGGTGGCGCATTACTAGAAAATGAGAAGGAAGAAACTTTCCAGTGGCTATTTGAGCATTTTTTTAAATGTATGTTTAGCAAATATTTAGTGGCAATGATAACAGATCAAGATAAAGCTATGGGTAATGCAATCAAGAAAGTGTTTCCAAACACTTGACATCACTTTTGTGCATGGCACATTAAGAAGCATGAATTGGAACATCTTCGGCCACTTGTATCCCGTTATAGTGATTTTCAAGAATCATATAGACAATGGGTAAAAAGTTATACGGTTGAAGAATTTGAAACCAATTGGGAAGTTATACGTAATAAGTATAACCCCGAAACTAATAGTTGGATAACATAGATGTATAAGCAACGAATGCATTTGGCTAAAGCCTTCTTGAAGGACGTTTTCTTCGCCGGCATGACTACTAGTGGACGAAGCGAGAGCATTCATTCATTTTTTTATGGTTTTGTTAACTCTAAGACCATGTTGAATGAATTTGCACTTCAGTATGATAAAGCAATTGAAACTCGAAGGGCTACCGAAGAAGATGAAGATTTCAAAAATATGAACTCCAAACCAGTTCTTTCTTCTATTCATCCAATTGAAGAAAAAGCTGGTCAATTTTATATTAGAAAGATGTTTGAGGTTTTCAAGAAAGAATGGATAGAAGCTGTTAACAATTTAACTCATGAGACATTAAGCAAAAACACAGAAGAAATCAGATATCGAGTTGGGCAAGTAAATGTCGATAAAAACCATTGACGAATTGTTATCTTTCATTTCTTGAATCAAGTTGTCAGATGTTCATGTGCTAAGTATGAAACATATGGGATATTATGCAAGCATAGCCTTTATGTGATGAAGAAGAGGAATGTTGAAACCCTTCCTAATCACTATATTCTGCCTAGGTGGACACTTGATGCTAGATACAAGGTGGGTAGAGGTAGCATTGGACTTGAAGAAATAAATGACGAAAATGAAAAGCAATTGAAGAGGCAAGTGACTCCCCTTCAGAGATAAAAAGATTCAATACTTTTTGTAAAAAGTTTTTAGAAGATCAAATTATCCGAAAAAAGGCTGAAGTACATGAGAATGCATCTCAAGATTATGGTTTTGGAAGTTCTCAAGTTGATATGATACCTCAAATATCTGTCAGGGACCCTCTTCTTCCAACTAATACGAAAGGGCGTCCTAAAAATGCAAGTAGAATTAAGTCTTCGTTAGAAATGACGAAAAAAAGAACATGCTCTTACTGCCAAGGATTGGGCCATTATACCACTAGTTGTCCAAAAAGAAAGGTAATTATACTTTATTTTATTTTTCATGATTTTCCCAATCTCACACTTATATTATTTTGTATCAGGTCGATGAATCGTTACATGAAAAACAGTGATGAGATGTGTAAGCTTTGTTGGTCTCCAAAATTTTAAGGTAAATTTTAATATTGATCTATTGTTGATGTTCAAACTATTGGTAGTTTAATAGTACATGTTTTCAAAGAGAATTTATTCTTATATAATCAAACAATACATTGATGTTGCATTAGGTTCTCATGTTTCACGGTTCTGGATTATGGTTCTTCAATTGCGGGTCTTTCAGTTATCACAGGTTGCTGCTCGTTGAATTGAAGAGTGTGATAGATGTTTACAAATTACAATTTTAACCATGATTTTCGTCTTAGAGAGAGCTTACATATTTTTCGGTTAATTTATGCAACTTTTTTGTCTGTATTCATCCATTGGCAGCTTTTAAAGATAGAGAATTAAACGGATATATGTTCCTGAGATTGACATCAAATGATT